CTTAAACAAAACTGTTCTTCGTTTCTATTCTTGTTGCTTCTGATTTTTCTTTTGTTTCTCTGTTGTTTTTCTTTCTTGGCAGTAATTCAGTATTTTTGGTCTAACAATTAGTTTAAACTTTCTATGTGATTCTTCCTTTGTTAGTCAATAGTAATTTGTCAATTTCGCTGTATTTGAGTCTTTGTCACTCGAGCATGTTCAGTGTTATAGGGTTTAGTTTAAACTTTGTTAATTTGAGTAAATTTCTTCACGCTAATCGACATTGTTCTAACTCTCATGTGTGATTTAACTCTGCCCAGTTCGGCTTTGTGATTGGTTCAATTGGTTGATCCACGTTTGTTTGCTGCAATTTGGTTTTAGATTCAATAAATCTGTCCAGTTAATTTGATGTTAAGGATTAACCATAGTTGAGTAGCTAGTATGGTTACAGTTGATAGAGTTTAACTAGTGTTAGTAATATCAGGGGATGATCAAGGGTAATTTAGGCATAGAAAAGGGTAGTTTTATTAGGAATAGTAATTTTTAAAGTAGGAAAGGGATAGTATAGGAATTGTAATGGGTAGAGGACTTTCTAGAATAGACTTTAGTATAGTTTTCAATAAAATAGGTGTTGTAACTTGGGTAACAAGTTAAAAAATAAGGGACTAAAAGCTGAAAATGGGTAAGGACTAAAAAGAAAACTAAAAATCTGAAGGTAGCCCTAGGCTTTGCATATAAAAGGCACACCCATTGCTTTCTTTAACAAGTTTTTGGCATCTAAAAAAATTTTCCCCCAAAGTTTCTACAAGTTTAGACTCTAAAAATCTGAATTTCAAATCCAAAAACAAGAAATTAGAAATCTGAAACTCGAAATTAAAGGGTTAGAAACCTAGAGAAGCTGAAAATTTGAAATGAAAATCCCAAAACCAAAATCTGAAATCATAAAGTTTGAGAGTTCAGCAAATTTTGTTCATTGAAGGTCTAACAGTAGATTAAACATCAAATCTAAGGTCTGGTTTAGAGTTATTGGTTTGCAATCGAGTGAAGTCAGATTTGGTAAATCGATTTGGGTTGTATTTCAAAAACTGGACTGCTTTGGTCAGTGTTCGAGTGTATTTGCTTCCTTTTGGTTTTGACATTCGAGTTTGGTTGAATGATTTTGCTGCTGGATTGACTGTCGCTTCTCCTGCTTTGCTAGCTCCTCATCTCTTCTATTGTTTCATTTCTCCAGGTATCTTCCATAGCCTCAAACAATATGTAAAATGTGAATCTGCACTTCAAATAGAGAATGCTTTGGATACAAGTTGCTATTTCAGCTGATGTCTCCTGTTCTTTTTCCTGTTTTCTTTCATATTATGATGCATGTATATATTAGATTGATGTTTTAGCTACTTCGATTTGTTTCTGTAAAGGCACAAGCCTGAGACTGGGCATAGATATATCATGAATGTTTGGTGATCGTTCATTATGAATGTTGAGACTATTATAGGTTGAACATTGCAGATGAAAATTACAGAAATTAGTATCATTTTTATTTTTCCTTTAATAAGATGCGGTTGTCTAAATACCTTGGCATAAGATCAAAGTTCAGCATATGAACATTGTCTATTCTAGGTAGCTATCTCCATTAGAGATTCGAGCAGCTGGTTTAAATAATGAAATGGGTCGCATGTTGCGTTAATTGTGTAAATTCGAATTGTCATATGGTTCTCCTGCAGCTTCAGCGTTGAAAGCACCAAATTGGGCTATGGCTTGGCCCCAATAGTGTCGATTTCTCTTTGTTGAGAATATCTCAGTCTGGGCTTCACGTTTAGCCCAATTGAGCCTTCTACCCATTGACAATATGGTAGCTGGACGATGGTTATAACTGACTTGGGCTCACCCTTAGGCCCAAGCGCAACAATTTCTTCCTAATGAGACTTGGGCTACCTTCTTCAGTGGGCCCAGTTATGCCAGATTCCCATCCCCTTTCCTGCACTCTTATTTCTCGATATAGGCGGCATTGTGAGCCCAGCGGTGCTCATGTTGGTCGAATTGGGGCCTAAATATGAGATTAACGTGGCAATACCGAAGATGAAGTTAATTTGGACTTTCTCGTTCAGTGGCATGTTTGAATTAAGAGGTCCGTCTCTTGTTCAAATATGGACTTGGACTTGAAGCCTAAACTCCTTGATCACTTTAAATAATAGCAACTGATAAAATTGATTAATTAGGCCCTTTTAGAGACAAAAAATAAATAGAAAAATTTTAGTTCACTTTAGGTTGGCCTTAAAATAATTAAAGGAGATGAGCCTCGCCGCACAAAACATATAAATCGCGGGGCCCTCATTAAATGCTTTATTAAAATATATTTAGAAATTCGGGACATGCCACTTAGCGAATTTTCATGGCTTCCCGCAAAGTTAATAAGACGCTAGCCGCTTTAGGCGCGCTTTTTAATAATTTTACCTTCCTAAACTCGGGTGTGCATTTCATGCAACCCAAATCCAAATCCTAAAACGTTGAATAAGAGGTGTTGAGGATCCGGGTGCATTTCATGTGACGTGATCCAAAAACACGCTCTTAAACGGCGTTCACTTTCGTAAAATAACTAAAAGCGGTAAATAATCTTAAAAATTACATTATAGGTTGAAATGTGTATAAAAATTAGATTTTAGCCATTTATAATAATTTAAGCGACCGTGCTAGAACCACGGGATCCGGGGGTGCCTAACACCTTCCCTCGGGTCAACAGAATTCCTTACACAGAATTTCTGGTTCGCAGACTCCAATTGGGAAGTCGAATTTTTCCTCGATTTGGGATTTAAATTAAACCGGTGACTTGGGACACCAAAAGCCAATCCTATCCCAAGTGGCGACTCTAAAAATAAATAAACAATCCCATTTCGAATAATGTCACTTTAAATGGAAAAACTCCCTTATACATTATCCTTCGGGGTAGGTGTGTAAAAAAGGAGGTGTGACATTGCTCAGTAGTGAAGTTGAAATCCTACAAGGGTAGGTCGCGGCTTTTAATCCCGTTGAGCTGGTAATATTTCACGTAAAATTTCTCTTGTCATTTATTTACTGCAGTGTGCGTGTGTACTATTGAACCTGATAGAGAACCTGATTCTCTATATAGTTTGGTGGACCCTTATATCAAAAGTAAGACAAAAAATAACAAATCTCTTCTTCTCCGAAGCACGTCGCATATTACATTTCAGATACCAACTCCTAACCAGACAACTAAATCAAGCTAAATTTAAAATCTAAAATTTAAAATACAAGATACAAGCGAAGGTAGGGGTGGGTGGGTGGGTTGAATTGGCTTGCTAATTTGGGCAGACAACTCATCTTGATCTCTCTTGATTTTCATCTATCGTTCAGCTTATATTGGTGTGACGATTGAGGGGAACATCGCCAACTAGGCCTTTTAACCTTGTTAAATTTCCGGCATGAATGGCGAAGAGCTCATAGGTGGTGACGGTGCGTGACATTGGCCGGAGCAGGCCGTGGTGCGCCAACGTGTGGGAGGAACGGTGGTGGAGAACCCGGAGGAGGTGGGCATTGGTAACACTTTGTGAAAAGACCAAATGTGTCAATTTGATGTATGAAATTGGTCATACTAGCCCAACCACCAAATCCAAACCCAACAATCAGTACCCACACCACCACAAATATGTTTATTGTAAATGTTCCAGCCCAACGTCCCACGAATTTTGGCGGTTGCTCTACCGCATTCTGCATAACATAAAGTTTACAATCACCACATATTCATAACACACCAAAGGTTAGAAAAACATAAACAAATAAATTAGGAATTATTAATATCCTTTAACACTTTTAAACCTCATAATTTTATCTAATTTTCCACGTAAAATTTAAATAGTAATCCAATATCTTTGAGATTTTCAGTCAAAATTGAAAGCGAGTTGGACTGAGATGTGTCACCTGACATTATGTGTTAATAGAAATATCTTTATGTTTGTACGATTCCTCCTAGATATATATAGCTCCAAGAATAAATAGTCTCTTTTTTCACTTAAATCAAAGAACTATTACTGTGTGAGACGTGACTTCCCATTTATTCTTTCTCTTTATTCGCTATTGGGCCCTTAGGAATCGGCAGCTCGGTGCACTAATCTCCCGCTATGCGCGGGGTTCGGGGAAGGGCCGGACCACAAAAGATCTATCGTACGCAGTCTTACCCTGCATTTCTGCATGTTTCCACGGCTCGAACCCATGACCTCATGGTCACATGGCAACAACTTTTACCAGTTACGCCAAGACCCACCTTCTTAGGAATCATAGTATAAGATTCTTTTACTTTTTTCTATTTTTGAAGTATAGGAAAATGAAAGATTGGTACCTCTCGGGCAGCAGCTGATTTAAAGGTAAACATATGAGCTAGAGCTGGGATGATGTAGACCGTAAAACTAACGAGAAGTGAGCCAACGGAGGAGTTTATAGGGCCAAAGAATGGGAATACTATGGCCAAAAACCATATCGGAATCACCACCGGCAACCGCGCCGCCGCCCTCTTGCATAGACTCTTGCACTCGTGCATCCCTATAGCTTTCTCCCATACAAAATACAATGGCGTGCATGCGAAACCAAATGTTATAAACTGCCAAAGAAGTAAAACAACTCAATGTTAATGTCGTTTAATGTTTTGACACACTCATTAAAAAATCACTTAACGTTAATAAAATCGAGTAAAATGACATTTAAAATGGACCTGGTGAATGAGCATAAGGATGACAGCCATGTCTCTGAAAGGTGATTTTGGTAAGAGAGAAAAGGCATTGGAATGATCAAGAAGTAAATCTCCAAATGCCCAATAGACTGCTGCTGCTGATGGAAGAGTCAGTGTCAACACATACAGTGTTGCCCATAAGTAGATTGCCTTAAATTTTTGTGGTTTCCACATCGCGTGCATTACCTCTCTGCCCAAAAAATCACAAAATTTTAGTCTCCCTTAAAATACAAAAGATAGTATAAATTAAGTTCTTCACAAGAAATGTATGTGTTATTCTCAAGAAATGTATGTAAGTTAAAATTCTTATTATATAGTAACAATACCACTCTCTCGGTTTCAAATATGTTAACAACAACAACATACCCAGTATTATCCCACACCGTGGGATCTAGGAAGAATAGTGTGTACGCAGACCTTAACCCTACCCTGTGAGGATAGAGAGGCACTTATTTCTATTTTAGTTGGTCTGAAAAAGAATGATATTTTTTTTGAATTTGAAAATAATTCAAAATTAAACTTACCAGCTTACACTAAATGAGGCAGTTATTGACAAATAAATATTACGACATATTCAAAACCACAAGTTTCAAGAATATTATAGTCACACAAATTTATTGACATATTTAAGACCAAAAGTTAAAAAATCTTTTTTTCTTAAACTATTTGTCCAATTAAATAAGTTCAAATAAATTGGACTACATGGAATACAATTTTTTTGATGTTTTTTTTTTCCAATGTATAGTACCTATGAGCTACAAACCTATACCTCCATGCCCACAAGTCCACAACCTAATTAAATGGCTTTTACAGTTGTACAGAAGCTTAAAAATCCAGTTGAGTAAATATCAGGATCTAATTTTGCAGTAAGGTCCAAATACCCCCTGAACTTTACGATAAGGTCTATATATAACCTTCGTTAAAAGTTTGGCCCATATCCAACCTTGCCGTTACACTATTGGCCCGGATACCCCCTTTGTTTTAAACGGAGCCAAATACCACCCTGAACTTTACGATAAGGTCTATATATAACCCCCCTGGATACCCTCTTTGTTTTAAAAGTTTGGCATATAAGGTCTATATCTTAAACTATTTGTCCAATTAAATAATTATTTAAAAATCTTCTTTTAATTTTTCTTAAACTTATAAGTTCACATAAATTGTATACCCTAATTTTTCAATTACAATAATTTTTTTTCAATGTACAATCCTTTTAGATGTTATATGGGTATAAGTTTACAATTGTATACCCTGTTGGTATAACTATATACTATACTGGTATCATATGTTAGTTAAAAAAATTTTCGTTGTATTAGCGGCATTTAATTGGTACACAATTTAATTTTTCTTTAGTAATAATATTAAAAAAAGAATAATAAAAAATAGCGAAAATAGTAAATAAAATTAGATTATGAAGAGAAAAGGAATATAAAAAAGAAGAAGTTAAATGAAATTAGAAAAGGAAAAAAGAAGAAAACGAGAAAAAAGAGAAGGAGAAAATATATAATGTAACATCCTCTTACAATTAGATCCTTTTCAATGTACGGTCTGCTCATAGGTACATTGGAAAAAAAAACATCTAAAATATTGTATTCCATGTAGATCAATTTATGTGAACTTATAAGTTTAAGAAAAATTAAAAGAAGATTTTTAAATAATTATTTAATTGGACAAATAGTTTAAGATATAGACCTTATATGCCAAACTTTTAAAACAAAGGGGGTATCCAGGGGGTTATATATAGACCTTATCGTAAAGTTCAGGGAGGTATTTGGCTCCGTTTAAAACAAAGGGGTATCCGGGCCAATAGTGTAACGGCAAGGTTGGATATGGGCCAAACTTTTAACGAGGGTTATATATACACCTTATCGTAAAGTCAGGGGGTATTTGGACCTTTTCCGTATCAAATTTATGATGGATTTCTTTCTTGCTTTTTTACCTTGGTTAATGGTTCCGTGAATTTATGCCAAGGAAACAGAAAAAGAACATTAAAAGAAGGAGGAGCCAGAGCCTCAACAGTTTTCCTTCATTGATTCAGCAATAAAAGCAAAAGTGATTCGAAAAAGAGTTCTGACTTTTTAACTTAAAAAGGGTAAAAGGGAATCTATCCATGGAAAAAAGATGCTGGAACCACTATTTATATTTTAGCCACAAATGCATGTAAAAAGCTAAAAGTAAAAGTTGATATGCACAGTTGTGGAGAATAATAACAATAATACTGTAGTAGTATTTTGACAATGATTGGTCATGGCGTAGTAAATGTTAAGTTTTGAGGGAATATTAATCTTTTAGACAAAAAAGAATAGTCCACTAGATTATTTCTTCAGAATCTGTCGAAAGAAGTCAAGGTAAAGTCATTTTCATAAAGAATATAATTTTATAGATACTAACTTATCTCCTATTTTATAGGGGTATTATCGTTTTAGCCGCGCAAGAAACTATTTACATCTGATAGCCGAAAAAGTATATAAAATTTGTATAATTTTTGTATATAACATACATAATGTATATATATACAAACAATATACAAATTTTATACATTTTTTCAGCTATTATTTTTACAACGGCTATACAATGTCATTTTTCCTATTTTATATTTTTAGCCTTGTACTTGAATGTTAGAAACAGAAAAAGGAAACCATATATATGAACTAGTAAATATATATAATTGTCAAAAGCAAATAAAAATAATTCTGTCTTACACAGTAACGGCATGTCCCCCAAATGTGTAGAGAATGTTTGTTGCTCCTGTGAAATAGAGCACCAATTTTGTTGGTCCCGAATGCTTCACCCCCTCCACCTATTTTTAAGAAGAAGAAAAAAAAGCATAAATGTATAGAGTAATTAACAATTCAAAGCTAAAGTATCTAATTAATTAGTCTAATCTTCACATATGTATAATATGATTAAAGATTTTCAATTCACATGGCACATCTAATTACTACTAATTCGGAATTTTAAAGTAGCATCTCTTTGTTGTTAGTGCTTTTTTTTTTTTTTTTTAATTCGAAAGACGCTACCATACCAATTTACTGCGAGCAATAACAACCGGTATACCATAGGTTAGCCAAACACAATCCTCTCATATTAGGGTTTTCTCCTCCCAGTTCTCCCTTTAACACAAAATGGTAGACGGGAACCGAATTGTCTCACGCGCGCGATATATGCTTAATTTCGTGACACAACGACGAAATTAAGTTAAATAATCATATGTAAAATTAAACGAAAAAATGACAATGTATAGCCGCTCTCAATAATAGCCGAAAAATGTATATTTTTTGTATATATATACATTCTTTATATTATATATAAAAATTATCCAAATTTTGTATATTTTTCGGCTACCAAACGTAAGTAGTTTCTGTCGCGGGCTAAAAGTGATAACACCCAAATTAAACGGATACATACCTGGCCATGAAGGAGTGATGCGACAGTAAGATACCAAGCAGTGTAAGTGGTCATTAATAAGCCAAGGAAAGACCAGATTCGATAATTATGGAAAGATGGAATGAAGACAGTAGTAGCACAACAAGCTCCGAAGATATAAGTCCAAGTTCTTTTGTCCAAATTATCATTAATGTAATATATATTGCTGCACATTTAAATAAAATAGATTGTGTTACTTATATGAGTAGAAAAAGACAGAATATTATAGGTAGGGGCAGGTAGAAAATTAAAGAGGACGAACCTTGCACAGGCTATAAGTTGAATTACAGATCCAAACAGAAGAAATGTGCAATTAAAGGCCAAACCCACGTTCCTCCAATGTTTTCCTAGCAACCCGTCAAGAACTTCAAACCACTGTAACACACAAATTACATACAATAATTTAGACATTAAAATAGTATATAAAACTCAGAATACCATGTGAAAAAATGGATTTATACAGTTGTCATGTCCCTTATGTATTTTTAGATTTTAGTAGTAGTGGTTTTCTGTCACAGACAAAATATCTATTAACCTATATCTTGTCGGAGTGTTTTGGTTTTAAGTTAAATAAAAGAAATACACCCCTTCGAAACAAGAAAAGTTTTTTGATTGACACGAGAATAATGCATTACTTTGGGAAAAGTAGTAAAACCTTGGCTCGTTTGGTACCGGGATAAATTTATACCGTGTTTGGTTGATTATACACTATCTACCATCAACCAAATATGGCATAAATTTAATCCCAAACTTAATATTGGATACTCGCCTTATTCTACTTTATCCCGTCAAACTTGGTATTATGTTGATTATAACCCCGGAATAATTTAGTCTGCGTACCAAACGATCCTAGAATTTCTGAGTCTCAGACCCAGTGGCGGAGCCACACATGCACCAAAGGGGTGTCCAGAAAATTACACTGTGTAGCTCGGTATTTAAAAAAAAAAATGTATATCTATTACTAATGACACCCCCCTTGACTTCTTAATGAGTTTGTTTCTTTATATTTTGACCCTCTCAATGAATCGAATTGTTATAAAAGATTGACACTGTTTATGTAAAATCCTGCGTAATAATTATGAGGCTATTGTTAAAGGAGAAACCTGAATGACGTGGTTGCGAAAATCAACTTTTTCTCTTTCTTTTCTGGTTCTGTACTCAATATAGAGAATGCTAATGAGATAAGCTGTCCAACTACCCAATAAACCATAGAAGAGTTGAAATGAAACACCAGAGAGCATTCCCAGTTGAGAAAATGAGTATGGCAATGTCAATAGTACTTGAGCTACCTGAGAATGTACAAGAAAAAGTCAAAATAAAAACACAGCAAATTTATCTATCAATGTGTGCATTAATAAAAGATATTTTAAGAAAGAAATAAATTAATTTAACCTGATTAGAAGCACAACTAAACCAAGCATCATAAGCAGAACCACCATGCCAGAATAAATTAGAGATCTTAGATTTCATGTCATTAGACTTTCCTTCAGTCTCCATTTCCACATAATTACCTACTATCACTGTTTCCACTACTTTGTCTGAAGATTCCATCTTCTTCTTTTTCTTTTTCTTTTTCTTTTCTTACTATTTCCTCTGCTCGCTCTCTTCTTACTGAATAGGCTTTTGAATCTCTTCTCACTATTGAAATGGACTTATAAAACAGCTGGCTAGTAGGAAGCTTACTCGTCTATGCCATATTTATATTGAGAGAAATGAATGTTAAAGAATGTTGGTGGGTGGGGCCTCTCTCCTTTCTAATTTTACTTTTTTTTTTTTTCCCTTTAATTCTGTTAGCTATTTTTTTTCAAAAAAATTCAGGGGTGAAAATCGTGAAAAGAATGATGGGGAATTGGTGTTCTTTGAAGGGTGGTGGGAATTTGGGGCGTACAAAACCGACAAATTGCACCAAATTGATAATTCGAATTAAACCAAGAAGAAAAACCGGATCATGGCTCGGTTTGATTTTGTTTGGTATTAGAAAAAAATTCCGATCATAATTGGTTTGGTTTGGTTTTAACTAAAAAGAGTCAAATCGAAATAAGACCAACCCGTCATTATAGTTAATACATAAATACACGTATTGTGATATAATTTATAAATGTTTCTTAAACTATTTCATAATATCATCTTTTAAGGTATTATTTTAAGGTTGGACTTAGAACTTTTAAATGTTCTATTAAGTTTTATAGCCATTAATATTAGTAATTCAAATAATGCTAATAGAAGCCTAAACCCAAAATAAATAAATACTAATACTAACAAAAGACATTCAATTCAATACTAGGGATGAAAATGTATTGAATACCTATTTTTTGTTTTGTATTGACTTAGATAAAAATGCATAACCTATTTTTATTTTTTATTTTGCGTTATGTCATGTTATTAATACTCCCTTATTAATCTACCTATTTTAGCATGACTTAGTACTTTTAGATTATGTTTATTTTAATATGACNCCGACCCTGAATGCGCACTTCTCCGGGTTCAACTTCATATTGTATTCCTTCAATATGTCGAAGGTCTCTTACAAATATTTCAAATGGTCATCTGCTCGCAGGGACTTAACATGTCGTTAATATAAACTTTCATTGATTTTCCTATCTGTTCTTCGAACATTCGGTTTACTAGGCGTTGATAGGTGGCACAAACGTTCTTTAATATGAATGGCATTACATTATAACAATAGGTGCCGAATTTAGTGATACAAGAAGTCTTTTCCTGATTGTATGGTTCCATCCGAAAGGTTGTACCCGGAATAGTTATCGAGAAAGTTGAGTATCTCGTGCCCGGCTCTCGCATCGATTATGTGATCGATGTTAGGCAAAGGAAAAGAGTCATTAGGGCACGCCTTGTTCAAGTCTTTGTAGTCTACACATATTCTTAGCTTATTTCCTTTTTTAAGCACTACGCAAAATGGGGAATTCAGATGGCTCATTTATGTGTACTGTGTGGAGGTGACATAGAAGAGACACATGATCACTTGTATTTCGATTGTCCATATTCACAGAGCTTATGGAAAGGAATGCTAGAATGGCTAAGATACCAAAGGAAGGTTGAAAATTGGGAAGCTGAGGTGCAGTGGTTAACTACCAATGTAAACAATAGGAATCCAAGGAAGACTTTGCTAGGAGTGGTGTTTGCAGCAGTAGTTTATCACATCTGGATGGAGCGAAATGAAAGAAGATTTCAAAACCAGAGCAGAGAGGTCAAAGATAGAGCAAAAAACATTGTCATGCAAGTGCACATAACNAAAAAGAAATCAAACCAAGTAAGTCGGTTTTTCAAATATTAGAACCAAACCAAACCAATTAAGTCGATTTTTTCTCGATTCGGTTTTTGTCGGGTTTTGTCGGTTTTTTCGATTTTTTCGGTTATTTGTCGGTTTTTTCTTAAACATAAGACATACACTACCAAACACATATTTCGGCGACCGCATTTTTAACGTAACACTATCAAATCAAATGCCCTTTGAGAAATCTATTATTTACCAAGATATATTGATGATAATTGAATCAAATAGTGATGAATAATTTAAGGACTCAATTAAAAATATATTATTTTTAACACGAAATGGATTCTTACACTTAACAAAAGAAAACTACACTACAACAAATGTGATATTTAGCTACGAAATTATTAGCTACAACACAAAATTCGTCACTAATTGTTCATTTTTTGTGACAAAAAATATAATTCGTCTTTAAATACATGAACCACACAGTTTTAGTGACGAAACATAAAATTTCGTAGCAAAGTTTCGTCCACTAAAGTTTCCCACCAAAAAATGAGTTGGCGTCATTTATTGAGTAATATTAGCGACAAATTTAAAGTTATCAGTGACACATTATTTTGTCACTAATGATGTACCCAATTAGCGACGAACCATTATTTGTCTTAGAATTAGGTAAAGTTTGGAGACAAAAAAGTTTCGTCACAAAAAATATGCTGCTACAATAGCGACGAATTAGAATTAGTAGCTAAAAATTGTAAATTTTAGCCATAAAATTTTATATTTAATTGTGACCTTTATTTTTGTCACCAATAGTGCAAATAATTAGTGACAATTATTTTACTTTCTCTAATTAACCTATAATTTAGTTACAAAAAAAATTTGTCACAAAATATACAATTTTAAATGGTGACGACTTAACTTTGTAGTTGAATCATACGATTACTCGCGACGAAAAAGATTTGCAGTTAAAACAAAATAATCATACTTTATGTTTAAATGTGAATCTGAAGTTTGTTCATGCAAGATACATATACTTACTTTAAGACTTATTGAACTTGTGATTGAAACAACCATCTTTTGAAAAACTATCAAGTTCGAGAAACTAAAATCCCATTTTTACTTATATTAAAAAATTTAGGAATATTTTTCTTTCTACCTAGCTTTGAGCACAATTTACTTTCTTATTGAAAAGTATTAAGTTTATTTATTTTCATATCGGAGATGAACCATTTAATTTAGTTCTTTATAAAATTATTTATGCTGTAAATTTGACGCTTGGTTTCAAAATTAGTGTACCTTTTATCTGATTTCGTCCGAACAGTTACAATTTAAAGAACATACAAATTTACTTTTTGAAAAAAATTGTAATATGTCCTCATTATTTTACCAATTTAAAGTATATGCCATATAGGACAAAATTATAAATCCAACTAATATTTTTTTTTATATTTTTACATTAGAGATTGTTAGGAACAAGGCTGGATGGAGAATTTTGAGAAGATGGTTGCACTATTATGAAGAGGTGTATCTAGCTAGGATATAAATTTGACTGGTTCAACTTTTAAATTCTTACCATAGCAACGCACGGGCGAATAGTCATAATCGTAAAATATGCGACCATCCAAGTAGTGGTCTAAGCCACCATAGCCCCTTCCGGAATCTGCTTCCACACAACAGGCCATAACAATAGAAGGCCTCTGAATAACATCATTTGCGGCAGCTGACAAGCCTGATACGTGCCATCACCAATCACTCACATAACTCGATCATGCTGCAGAAACTGACTGCCAACACCAGTATACCAAATTCAACTATGGCCAATCAACTACCTTCTTCCAATTTATCCTTGATTGCCTTAAAGATATCACTGATTTCTTCCAGCACGTAACATACTCCCTATGCACTCATCCCGAGCGACCTGGAATCACGAGACCATGCTGTCTCAAATCCCATGAACTGACTCATATCTCTCAAATGCCATAGCGCAAGCCCAAAACATCACAGAACGTCCTGAGTCTCCATTCGTAAGTTGCTGCATAAGCTTGATTATCAATTACGCCTATAGGCTCGAAATCATTAAGGATTACACTTCATCTTTTGAATTTTCACTAGGACCGCTGCTGAGAGCCACCTGCTCTGACTTGGCCCCGAATATAATCAACTCCATAAATCTTATAACACATGAATACCCTCTCGACGAGGCACCCGGTGGAATCACTTCCTTGAAACCTGCATTTATACATGGCATAAATCCTGAATCCTTTCCCAAGTCTGAACATGGGCCAATAAGGCCAGTCATAACATGCATTTCAACAATCCCTTTGCTCAATTCATCTCTTATGTTCTTTTCCCGTAGCTAGAATAACCCATCAACATACTAATAACCAGAAACCTTGCAAGCAATCAACTCTGCAACCCTATCACAAGCGGTAGGACTCTCCCACGTAGCTTGAAGCCATAATTTCACCAATCTGGAACTCACTTATCCTTTTTATCCCTTATAGACATAATTTTGCACAATCAACCGCCAAAATTCTCGAGACCTCTCTGTAAAACCTCTTTCTTATACTCTAAATCATCCACCACATTCGCACGATCGATTCCTTCGCTACATACCCGATAAGATTCTTCGCAGAAGCCTCACCAACCACGCGACTGCTAATCTGCTCACTTGGCTAACCCACCTATAGAAGGCTCTCCCCGACATCTTCCAACACTGCTGCACAACGTACAATTACTACGACATCAATGACCCTTCCTGAGTCTGAGCTCACACTCCAGTTGCACCGGTCCATTTTACCCCTTGTTGACATCATTGAAATGTGCGACAACATCATCTTATTCAAAGCCATGCTGCATCCTTCTTCATTTAAGCGGCTCCTTCCCGTTATATTAATCCTCCGGCCGCACAAGAACCCCTACTTCAAATTGAATCCGTAGACCCCAGTCACCAATCGCTAATATCATCAAATCACTCCAAACTCTCCTTAAGGTACGTGGTCCTTCCACTGCAAGCCCATATGCATCACCGCCGCTCTCCCACTTTGGCGGAACTCGTCCCCTTAATTGACTACTCCACCTTTACTTCATATACCTGGCCTTTTAGCAATTTAAACTCCACCTGACACTTCCCACATGCCTTTCTCATCTTTTGCTGCTCAGTTGCTGCTTGAATAAAATTTATCTTCATGGTACTTGAATTCTCAAATTGCTACTAACTCCGAACCTAACCGTAAGGTCATCTTTCTCGAACTGCTAACAATAGAAATACTGATTAAATCCTGAACCACCGCATCCTGCGATATCTGATAATCGTATCTCTAGATACTATTTCACAATATCTTGCCTCAAAGGCGAATCGTAGAAGATCATAACACCGACAAACTTGATATGTCCAATTAGGACAACAACACCCCAATATAAAAGAAAATCCA